GGCAAAACAAAACTGCAAGGATTTCATTTTCAGTTTTGTGACCCCCTACACTGGAAGCCCCTACTAAATTCCTGTACTCTCTAATTCCTCTTCCGTTTTCCAGCCCCGATCCCACGGTAATGAATCTCCTTCCTCCCGATGGAAACAAAAAAACCTCGTGGGGAAAAAGAAAACAAAAATCAATACCTTCTTCCAAAAACACTGGGTAACTAATATAAAGAAACTAGTCACCTCCTACCTGTCTCCCTAATCCATTTCGCATTTTAAATCTTACTTTTAAAGCCTAGAACTCTCGCCTTTTCTTCCGTAATAGAGGGGCTCAGGCGCCGCCCAATTTCCCAGGCCGCAAAGATTTTAACCCGCCACATTTCAAGGTTTTCTAGTTTTCTATCTTCTGTCCTCATCCTCAATCCAGCACCCGCTTCTTCAGACACTAAAGTTTATTAGCCCAAAACGCTAGTACAAAGGTGAATTCCTAGGATTCCGCGACGCGCCCCCGCGCCCCACCAAGGTAGTGGGGAGGGGTCGGAGCTGCGGGCCGAGGCGCTCCCGCTCGGCCGAGTCCGAGGGGCGGGGGAGCGGCTATGACCACACAATCCCACCACCTCCTTTCACGACTCCCCCACCTCCGGGCGCTCAGGCCTGCTCCCAGGGAGCTCCCCGCTACCCAGCAGCAACTCGGCTTCTCCTCACCGGCCCGCCAAGGACCGCACTAGCATCCAAGGAGATGATTTATAAGTAGGAAAATGCAAAAAGTATCCAACGTGTTGTTCCAAAACATAACGGAGCCCGGGCCCCCGAGACCGTTAAACCGCGGGTAGAGGGGGGAGAAGCGAGGAACTCAGAGGCCTAGGGCTTTGGCCTAGCCGCCCTTTTCGATCCCAAACCTCACACTCCGTGACCACCAGGCCTCTCTCAGCCCTGCCCCAACCCCCGGAAGACCCGACAAGCAGCAAAAGGGTCAGTACCTTGTAGAAAGCCCCGTTGGAGCCGCGAACCTCCACCGTCAGCTCCGCCATGTTGGAACCGCAAAGGCCGCTGGGAAGAGATTCTAGAAACTTTCCAACCAGAGGGGAGGAGGGGGAGGGGCATGAAGGAGGCGGGGGGAGGGGCGGGGAAACCCGAGCAGGGACTGGTATCCCCCGCCCCGCACCCTTAGGGTTTCCACGCGCAG